TTGCTATACCTCTTACACACCTACACAAGTTCAAAGCACGAATGAGACTTCAAAGCTGTGGATTGCTGTGCGTAGAGGCTATCGAGCGGTTGACGGAAAGGGAACTTGAAGTACTATACCTGGTAGCTGCACTATAGCTACCCTGGGTCTCTATACCTAGCAAGGTGCCAACTACACCTTTCCATTCAGATGATGCAAATGATGCATTTGGCATTTCTTGCATCACCACCCCTCAAAAATCACCTCCAACACAACCTCAAAAAACCTTCCCTCGGAGCACCCTCCTCCCCCAGCATGTGCCGAGTTGACGTATACCTTTCTCGGGCCACCCCCCCAGACCCCCTAACTACTCACTTCGTTCGCCAGACATAACTCCGCTAGCGCCTTCTACGAAGGCTGGCTTTCGTAACCACTGGGTTCGTATTCGGAAGATTGTCTTCCTTTCAAGTCCATTGCCATCAGGTGGAACCTGTCGTTCGTTTTCGGGAGTGTACGTCAAAGCCATCGGATGGTGGACAGTTCCAGGTTCATCCACTCTTCGGTTCTCATGGGGGGAACCTCCACCACGTCGAGGAGCAAACTGACATCCTCTGCTGAAGCGCGGGTTGCGTTGAAGCGCGGGTTGCGTTGAAGCGCGGGTTGCGTTGCTCGCTAAGCCTATCAAGAGAGATTGAGAACCCTAGCTGAACAATGAAGTATATTGAGTATTGAAGTCTAAACTGATCCAGGTTGATCTAGACATATATAATCTAATTATATATATATATCATATATATTTTAACATGTTCATTGATTGAGGTCCGGTGTGCCATCCGGACTCGCTCAACTTCCAGAAAACCAGCAGAATGGGGGATCTTGGAGCAAATCTCTTTACTGTACTGGCCCACTGGCGACTGCAGCCAGAATCTATGTGTATCTACTTGTTCTATTCCTGTCGATGATAAGTGATAAGGTATCCATACTCTGCCAGTCCAAGCACCAGTCTAAGCACCTGGTCCAGCCAGCATGACCAAGGTGTTTTATGTCACGAAGTCCCCGGGACGTGTCATCCTTCCCCTTGGAATCCCACCTCTTCTTCGCGAATGGCCTCCAGGGCAGGTGCCAATTCCTGCGTGGGTGGTGCCCACCGCGAAAAAGAGCGAAGCATAAGGCCCTTCATTGAACACAAGGCGAAGCAAGGGACATATATATATATATGTATACAACCCCACACAAGAGGGAAGGACCACCGGTGGATTTCAGGCAGAAACTGGTGATCTACACACAAGTTTCCTGCACTCTATAACCATGGATTTCGTCATATATCGTATATCCCATTACCACTAAAAGCGGATGATGATGGTTAGGTTGTAGGCATTTCTCTAAAATATAGTGATTGTTTACTGACTGTTACAAGTTTTTAGGACAAAGCCAACCCATAGTCTCGTGGTTGAAGATTTGGTGTTCCCCCTGTCCCAAATACACAGTCTGAACATGTCGATGAATTTGGCCCGACAACCATATGATGTATGACAATAAAGAACGTTTCAGTATGACAATAAAGAACGTTTCAGGTATATAGTATATATAGTTATAATATGTATGCATATGGGCGTATATAAAAAAGGAGACCTCCCAGTTCGACCCCTTGGAAGAAACAAAATAGACCAGTCTACCCATTGTGCCAGGGGGTCTCCCTATTAAAATACACAGCCTAATTGTCGTGTCTCGTTTCTACTTCAAAAGCTCATGCAAGGTGAAGCAACCCAACGCAGTGTTTCAGTTGTGGTCAGGGTTCTCTTTCGGTGAATGGGTTATGGGTTGGTGGGATGCCACATAGCAACTGATCACCGAAGCCCATTCCCTCAGTCTTTGGAGGGATAGTGAATGGATTAAAGGGATTGAGTTGGGGTCAAGAAGGTCACTCAAATGTCCAGTTTTGTGGTCGTTAGGGTTGTCCTACATCTTCAAAGCTATAAGCTAATGATATGAATCTTTGGATGTGCTTCGGAGACCAACAGTTCCTGAAGCTCCCCTACACGAGCATGCTGCATGCAGTGCAGCTCCAGTCCATAGACCACCATACAAGCGTTCAAAGTGAACCAAAGTTATAAGTTACAAGCACCTATAATAAGTACTTCTGAGTCCAAGTTAGACTTAGCTGGCTTAGCTGCTGCTTAGCTACTTAGCGAAGGACCCTCTGGCTAAGTAGTCACCTCATGTCATCACATCGAAGTAGTCAGACCTCTCCTTGGGCACGTTCAGTGACATCTGCTCTGCCTCATGGCTCCTGCAGGAAACACATCACCTCCGATTCGATCGGACTCCAGGGTGTCCCCGATCGCCCCTATCGATCCACTGCTTGTGAGGTCCGGTGATTGGGCGACTCGGTATAGCCTTGAGCCGTACCGAACCTGAGAAGGGATAACGGACGTTGAGCCGTCCCGGGTCTAGGATACCTCCTGTTCGGATGGTCGGACGTTGAGGTGAGTATGTATACGTCATGGTCGAACGGTGGAATTGGGGCCTTCCTAGCAGCACATCCGAGCAACACCTGGACGGAATCCGTATCACCAAGAGTTGCGAAGGAGTCCCAAAACGGGCCTACCAAGGGCACACTTCGTGTCTACTCTTCTGGATTCTCTGTCCTGTCTTGCTCTGATTCTCCACCACCAATGGATTGGTGTTTAACTAAATCGATTCTCCTCTACTTGCTTGCAAAACAAGCTTTCCAAGGTGAGCAAAATGTAGAAAACATGCTGCCTAGCTAGCACCCCCAGAAGTTGAAGTTGGTTGGAAGGTTTTACACAAGGACATCACTATTTTAGAGAAAAACCTGGAACATAACCATCATCCACTGGGCCCTGTAATGCGCACACACGATTAAGAAACCTTCCCACTACTAGTCAAACCCAGCTCGAGCCGAGCCTCCAACACTAAACTAATTTAAAGCCAACAAAATGTCCACACTTCCTGGCGGCTATTGCTTTCTGTTCAGTCAACATCCAATTCCTCCTCCACGCTCTCATACGCAGTGATCCAATTAGCATGGCTCTGATTTATTATATAGATTTATTATCAAACTTGTGCCAATATACTAAGAGCTCTCATCGTTCTCATGGTTCAAACTTTCATGGTTCACACAGAATCCCATCAACCATCATCAGGTCCGGTCATCACCTCATCATCCGTCATCAGCTCATCACCTTTATTAGGGGGATCTGGTCTCCAATACCTCTAATCTCAAGCCATGTTGACCTTGTTGACCTTGAAGGGGGGGTTGATTAATCCGGTGTTCACATTAATGGGAAAGACCCAACCCATGGTTATACAGTACAAATTTGTGTGGTGGTTACTGTAGATCACCAGTTTCTGCCTGAAATCCACCGGTGGTGAAGACCTTGGATGGCCATCGCCAAGTGTTTTCTGGCCGTAAGGAAGAAACATATATAAAGCCAGTGGATGCAAACCCGACTGTTACAGGTGAAACCCGACTGTTACAGGAGTGACAGACCCATGGTTTCATGGGTTTTTACCATATCATAAGTGTCGGCTTACGGGGCTTCAGGATCCAATCACCCTCGGGATCTATCCTTTTTTTGGACCGAACCAAGCCTCGATCCGGTACGCGACCGCGAGCGGGGTTTAGGCCCATGCAGTTGGGGCATGAGGCCATACTTTTATACTGGAGTCTGCACTGAAAACAAAAAAACTTGTTGAAGTCTTCAAATGTTTCTGCCAACTTGTTGAAGTCTTCAAATGTCTCCAGCCAAATTGTCAAAGCTTCTAAAGCCGCTTGCAAAGCCTCAAAAGCATCGCCACCCTTGTCAGGGTGGGCTGTGCGACACAGCTGCCTGAAGCGCTGACGAAGAGAGCGCTGACTGTGCCTTGTGCTCGTGCTGTCGCCGCCCCTCGGTCAATGTCCTTGACCACCATTCTGGCACGGACGCCTTCATCGGATTCTGGCTTCTCAGCTGTCACCCACCTGCATGGAATTGGTTTGACCCCATGCTTCTCGCAGAAAGCGTGCATCTGAGGTGTGGTCAAAACGATGCCAGCCTTCACAGTCGTAAGGCCTTTGACTTCTTTCAGCATACCTTTGAAAGTCCCTTCGGGGTCCAGTTCAACCAACGTAGTATCGCTAACTGCTCCAGTTGGCTTCCACACATAGACCTTGGTTCCACAAAGATCCACAATTTCAAAGCTGGTCTTGGCACCTTGCTCAAACCGGATGGATTCAATTCGAAGTCCAGACACGTCCATGGCCTCCGTGTCTTCCATTGGTTCCGGATGAGCTTCATTCACATCTTCCACATCCTCCATGTGAGCATCATCAGCTACACTTGGCTCTGTAAGTCGATGCCTAGGGTGATGGCAGCTGCGTACGCTTCTTCCTCACTCACATCTTGCGCAGGTGGTGGAGGAGCCTCAACCTCCTCTTGAGGGCCCATAAGCAGTGTGAGCGTCCACCTACTTAGTCCACGTAAGAGAGTCTACGTAAGGGGCTCCACGTAGGGGGGTCCACGGGAGGGACTTATGTGGAGGCCTTGGCTGGCCTTACGTGGAGGCCTTTGGCGGGAGGGCCTTACGCGGAGGGTTTCATGGGCTTAGTAGATGGGGGCCTTGGTGTGGAGGCCTTGCCTGGCCTTATGTGGAGGGCTCGGCTGGCCTTACGTAGGTGGCCGGCCTTACGTGGAGGCTTTGCTGGCCTTACGTGCCTCCTCCTCCTCCTCTTCGCTGTCGCTCGCCTCTTGCTGAGATGCATGTCGCTCAATTGTTTGTTAACAGGAGCATGGCCTCAAAGAGCAACGCAAAACGGTTGTCCCACAGGCAACCTGGCGGACGGCCCACCAGGGCAAACCCGGGAGGCCGTCTTTCTTGGACATCCTGAGATGGGCCTCCTCTCGTGGGCCTCTGAACAAAAAGCAATGATATACTGAATATATACCTGCATAGCTTTGCAGGCTTAAATTTAGCTAGCATTTGGGAATACAAACTGTATTTGGAATCCTGTCTAGATTTTACAGGTCCGCACGGGCTTTTACAGGGTCGAACGGGTACGCCTTTTCCACCCGGGTTTTGGACACCTCACCAGGCACACCACTCTCCGCCATCAGCTGCAGTTTCCCTCTCACCCCCTCCGGTTGGGATGCATCCACAAGAGCAGCACCTGCGTCAAGTAACGCTCGATGCTCCGCACGATTCGCGTACGTGGGTTTGTGCACCTTGTCAGTACACAAAACCTCCCAATAAAATCTTCGTCTGTACTGCAGCTTTGACTCATTGGGTTTTCCACAAAATTGGACATGTGTGTTTGGTCCACCATTGAACGCCAAAGATGCCAAAACATGTGTAACTTTGGGGTGATGCTGTACCTGGCTTCTTTGAAGCCGTGAAAGCTCACAAAAGCCAACCGGGAGTAGGCGTGTAGAAAATGTTTGGCAGCCGAATTTATTCGCGCAGCATCTGTGGAACTAATCCACAAATTGTTTTTGTACAAAGTGGACATCCAAAAGTTCAAAGCTCTGGTTCCGGATGCCTTACTTGATGACACACAGTAGAGAAGAACTCAAGTTGCGGACCCCTAAACTTTGAAGGAATTGCTCAAAGGAAGCCTAAACAAACCTCCAGGGAACTATCAGCCTGAACCGTTCGTGAACTGATGATTCCAAGTCCTTCAGCTGGCAAAAGTATTCCAGGAACTGGCACAGCGCAGTGGTCAAAGCCCCTTTGCTCCAACCACCGACCGGTTCCTCCGAACCTTTCCAACCAAGCGTAGAGCGATCCACCTTCCGAACGTAGCTGGTTTTCCTGTGTTCCTTAGCAATACGGAAGGAGGCTTTCAGTTTGGATCGAGTTTACCCACTGAAAAAAGAACACACAAAGCCCAACAAAAATTGCGTCAATCAAAGGTTGGGGATCCACACAGTACTCGACGTACAAGTCTGACAAAACCTGCAGCCTTTTCTCGATAGATGTCCCAGGACACACTTGCTGTAGGATAGCAAAGCCACATGCTGCCCAAGCTTTTCCGACCCCCAGGCTAACAGTGTGAAAAATGTCGACCTTATGAAATGCAGCCTTTTTGTCAAACTCGTGCATCAATTTCCTAGTGAAGACCGCTTCTTCCTCCCAAGGAAACTCAGCGTGCATAGTTGCGTAGAAGTTTGGGTTCTCCGACCTTGGGGGACGCTGCTAAACAAGTTCAAACACCAAGTTAAGTTTTGGCCCAACATAAGCATAGGAACACTAAGAACACTGAACAAGTTTCAACCAAGACACACATCCTCATAGTCATAATGGGGGCGCCCACTAAGACAGAAGTGGCAGATTCCGGTGCAATCTTTCTTGGATGCTGCAGCTTTTGGCACATTCCTGTAGCTGCGTACTAAATTGGCGGAAGTAGCCTTGATTGATCTTTGTTCGATACCCTGTAGTATACTGTTTCAGCGTGATCCCCAAAATGTAAAAACCAAAAACAATTGAACCTGCAACAAGAAACCAAGTATGGCCAGTCGCCCTTGTTTCCAAGGCATACCGGGTGTAGCTTTCCACCAGACGCCAAAGGGACCCCATTCCGAGAAGCATGGTCTAAAGATCCAACCACGACCTCCAGCAAGTCGGACATCACACTGTGATCATCACGGTAATCCTCCTTAGACACGAGGCTTTTAGGATGAGCACTTCGATCTGTGGACTAGGATTCCCAAACACAGTTTGCCCCCTAGCCGGCGAAGACAAAACAAACTATCGGAACTCAATTTTAGCCAAACTACTCGAAGCATAGCGCTCAGGAGAAATCGCGTTTCAAATGCATGCCCGACAAAGTTCAGATGTGGGTCATCCAAAACTTCATGTGTGATAGGGCCCATCTTGTTGCTAATAGTCCCACGGCCCATTGCACAGTGAAAGCTCAAACATAGGCACCCATCCTTTTTGTAAGTGGTGCCCTCATCCCCATGCATGTAGCAGGGGACGCACTCTTCCAATTTCAAAGCGTTTTCTGCGACAAGTTTAAAGACCTCGTGATTTGGATACAGGCGTTTATATCGTTTCCAGAACTCCAAGAGAGATGGGCCAGCATCCGCCAATCTTCTAACTTCAGGTCCCATACCCAAAAAGCGATCCAGCTTCCCAGCCTTGTCCAAAGTCTGTATCCAGGAAGCTACAGCTATGAAGGGATACTCCTTGTACTGGCCAACTTTCCCCTTTGAGACAGGCACATCAAATCGAAGACCATGCCGCAGAAATGCCCTGGACACCAGCACTTCCTAGGATGGGGTGCCCAAAAATTGAATGAAGATTGCACTTGCCAAGCCAGAAGGGTAACACCTTAAGCGAGTATATTGTTTGGTGATATATGATTCAAATGGAAAACTTGAAGGACCAAATTCAGGTTTCAGCTTTTGTAGGGTCACCATCCCTGAGATCCCAAAGCACAGGGCACACCCGCGCGACCTTGGCCGGTCTTTGCTCCAAGTGGTGATCATCGACGCGTTCGTCGTAGGCGATGATCGAGTTGGCCCTCTGAATGATGTCTGTGCAAGGGGCCTAGGATGGATCGGTCAAGAAGTTGGCCAAACCCCGGTTCGAAAGAACACAACATGATGCCATCAACTTTGGGGCTACGGCTACACAAAGCTCAAAACATAACGCAAAACTCTCTCACCATTTGTCCACTACAAGCACCTCGAAACATCGCAAACGAGATGCACCCTTGGCATAGCTCCATGCCAAATCCAATGCGGCCTCTGATGGACCTGGCATGGAAGAGCGCGTGGAAGCTTCTTATCTGAAACAAAGCTTGGGGTTGAACTGTCGATCTTCACCTCTACAGGTGTTGGGAGTGTATGGGTCTGAAATGGTCGGGAGCAAAAACAAGCACCTTTCCTGTTTTGTCCTAGCACGCGCTTTGCCCAAATTGAGGCGCATGGTCAAGTCTGCTGTCTACCCATATATGGATCATACGGGTTCTGCGTGGTGTATCCTTTCAGATACACTCCCCCTAGAAAATGAAAAGCCAGGACTGACAAATCCTGGGGACATACCATCCAAAAATGGACCCAACATGATCAAAATAAACATTTGCTGGCTGAAGTTGATTGACTGCTAGGTAACTGAAAATCAACTGACATTGGGTCCCTCAAGGCATCACACCACCTAACACGGCTTTCAGCCACTGAGATCGAGGTGGTATGGCGATCCACAATGAATCTTTCCACCTCGAGCAGCTCCTTGGCAGTTGTGACGGAAGGAATGTGACTGCCAGAATTGCAAGATGGCAGTCGATCATGAAGAAAACCTTATAGTTGCTGGTAAGATTCTCCACCTCAGTACTCGATTGCGTTCATTTCTTTGTCTTTCCCTTTGGCTTTGGTTTGGCTTGTGGTTTCTCTTCTTTCTCATTGTTCTCACTCGACTTGTTGTTCTTGCCAGGTTTGACAGTAGCCTTCTTGATCGTAGCCAGCAACATCCTTGGTACCAGGATGGAAATTGTGTTTCATTTCCTCAGATTTCCATGGGACAGCCACTCTATGCTATAAGGGGCTGCCAAGTAGCTTTTGCCTGGACTCAAGGGACAGCATGTCAGCTGACCTTGCACAGAGAATGGGCCATGGTATTCGAAGGTTTTCCATATTGCGATGAGAACAGTTTTTGGTTCCATTTGATGAGAGCGTGTGGAATTGACATGACGCTTTACTCTAGACACCTGCGACATGAACTCAATGCCGAGTTGCGGTTTCTTTGACTTTTCCTTCAGCTGCGAGAATTTATCACGAAGCCTAGGTGGCCATCTTCGACGGCTATACCCTGTGGTCTTTCCACTGGCCATGAAAAACCTGAAGCCCCTCCGATCCACCGTGGCTTGTCAATTTTGCGACGATGCACCACCTGTAAAGGTTTATGCTTGTGAATTACATGTGAACTAACCACCACAGCTACGAATTAGGTGGGCGTTGCTGGGCCTTTTGAAACTTTGGTACACCAAATATGTACAAAATGGACCACCGGAAGCGCCATCGCTGACAGTGTCGCCACCACTGCGGTCATTTCGACACCCTTGGATACCTTAGTGGCATGTGACAAAGGCAGCCTACTGCCAAAACCAACTTTGGGGTAATGTTTGGGGCCAAAGCCGAATCAAGTGGAAAACACATCATAGCTGTAGATGAGTCGAGGTTCCTTTGTATTTTTGAATTAAAGCTGCCTCCAGAAACGACGGCCCCACTGGCTCCACCGAGATGTACAGGACAATAAGTCTTTCCCATTGTTGCCTCTCACTGGCGTACCCGTAAATTGAATTCCGGAACCTGAAGTAAGGGCAATGTGTCCACCCAATCTTGAACACAACAGGCCCTGCTCGTTTGATCACATCGTCGATGGTGTTGCAAGCGTGGGCTAAAACTTTTCCAGATGAACTTCCCTTAGGTGGGAGCTGGCAATCCAACTTCGGGTCATCTCGTATTCTCTGCAGGCACTCGGCAGTCCGTTTTAGTTGGAGTATGGCATCGTCCAACTGGGAACACCATGGTTGTGGAACAGCAAGTGCCTTTCAGGGAAGGAAGTGCCTACCAAAAATATCAATAGTCAAACGCAGCACTCTAAGAGAGTTTTGCCCTGTTTGTCCTGCGCCAAGGTTTGTGGAGCTGGAACTGTCGTCTTTGGCGCCTGGGCGTGTCAATCATGGGTGGAAGGAAGCCTCCACAGGAAAGATCAACCCGCTTTGTGTCCAAAAAAGTGGCCGGTAAACATATTAGGTGTCAAGCGGCTTGACGATTATATTCGATGAGTTCCAGAAGCCAAAGGTCTTCATCATCTCCACCGTCATTGCACGCCAATGCGCTCATGGACAGCGAAAAGACAACTGCATGATCAATGAGACTTACGCTAAAAATGGATAGTTGCCATATGTTGCCATCAATTGAACCTACAGTAATAGAAGCGACCAGAATGAAACATATTTGAAATCTATGCACTTTTGTGAGCCCAAAGGGTCGATAAAAGGGGCTACAGCAAACTGATACGATTACCAAAGGTATCAACCGGTTGGATTTAGGCCCCGTAAGGTTGCAGGCAGAGAAACTTCTCTGACGTGGAGCCCTCATCAAGCATGATGTCCGCCTTGAGCTCCGCAAGGCTGCTGAAAACGGCCTTCAAATTGAGCCTGACATTCTCCCAATCCTTCATGAGCCTGGGCTGGCAGGAGTTGGGATCAGGTTTTAAGTGGGGCTGCAATATCCAGTTCAACACTTGGCATGCACAGTTGGGACCCTGGCTCTTTTGTCATCGGATTGGTTGCCCCATCACCTTCAATCTCAAGCTTCCCCAGATTGGACTGAACAGCCATCATCTTGTTGTGAATCGCATCCATGAACTTAACGAGCTCCGGCAGAACCTGGCAAGATTATCAATTCCTGTCAGCGTATTTTAATATGCATGCATGCGTGTGATTATAGTGTTCTGATGTGTTCTGTTTGTTTGAACGATTTTTGGGATCCTGCCTTGTCCCCCAACTTTTCAGCAGCTGGAGACAAGCCCTCTTCGGTGATCGCTTTCATGGTTGCAACCTTGATGGGTTCCACTGGCTGATTGTCCTGACAAGTGTCCAGGCCAAGGTGGAGGGTTGACTGTGGTTGTTTTTTTGATACACGCAAACTTTACTTTAATGCGGTGGCTTTCCTGACAAGTGTTGAAGGGGACCGCAAGACGAGACCAGATGCTTTGGCTCTTCTTGTTTCCACTTCAAGAAAACACAACTCGAAACCCAACACCCGATCAACCTGTTCCCAAGGAACTTTGGTTTGGAGTGGCTCATAATGCTGCGAAGCGTCATCGGTGGCATCAACAGCTTCTTGGCGCTTCAGCAGCTCGGTCTGACGGATGGTCTGCTTGGTGGACGTTTCCACAAAGTATTCCGGAACCGAAGCATCATATTTCCAAGCCCTGGCACGTGCACAGATATTCTGAACATGTCTATTACTATAGGACTGGTGGGCTCTCCAATTTTTCCAGGCGTGTGCCAAATTTTAGTGCTAGTCTGGTCAAACTATAACCCACTCTGGTCCATCGTCACATAGGTGTTTAAGTTCAAGCCTCAAACACAGGTCAGGCATACCGCTTCAGGGCTGTAGGGAATCTCTCACAATATCGAATGATCGCATCGATCGTCTCCCTGGGCCGTGTTCAAAGCAAGATGCTGACCGCAGAAATGGTGAATTTACTTTTAACCAAATTTCAGAAACTGCAATCCATCGCGTCACCACTGGCGGGTATACGTGGGAAGCAATCAAATTAAAACACTCTTGAGGGCGAGGTACGGGCTGAAGTCACCACTCTTCTCCATTTTCTCCCTGGTCATCCACTGTCCAAGGATCTCCTGTTCCTTTGATGTCATTCTCTCTCGCACCAGAATCACCCGGCTGCGAAATTCAGCCTTGGAGCCGAACAGATTTATATATAATTCACAGAGATCCGAGGACATTGGATGAGAAACTTGTTGGGACATGATCTTCAGAGTCAGCGCGACTAATGGACCAACGAGTCAAACCACCGAGATGCAATCAAGAAACTCTGAGCGCTTTGTGACTCCTGTTGTCAGCCCCAACCTTGGAGATCGCCTCGATCAGAGCTATTTCCAGCCACTCGCGCTCCTCGCCACCTTTCTCATATGCGCTCTGGGTGTCCTCGTCGACGTGACTCTTGCCCTTTTTGGTTTTCTGACAAAGTCTTCGTAGTCTCATCCTCAAAGCATCGTGGCTCATCAGCTTGCTTCCATTTGGAAATTCGAGCAAGTCCTTGCCCTCTTCCGCCTTTGCGCCATCTTCATTGGTTTCAGTATCATTCTTCTCACTGGTTTCGTCGCCAGCGGACAGCATGTGTACTGCTTGAGAATCTGGAGCAGAGGCCGTTTTGGCTGATGTTGTAGATGAAGGGGTCATTGAATGGAGAGTCTTGGGAGGAGGCGTCTCGAAGGACGTCATTTTTGTTTGCTTCTCCTCCTGCTGCTTCAACTTGGCCTCAAGTTCCGTAATCCTCTGCATGGCAACCAGGAGCAAAGCATTTTGGGATTCGGTCACCGGTTCCGAAGGCTGAGCGCTGACATCCTTCGCGG